CCCTGCTACGATCTAGGAGGACTTGGACGATATGGATGTTGCGGAAGTCTCTGCTATCCGCGGATCAGCCGGCCGCGAACTCAGATGCAAAACTATTGACACCTTGAAACCTGACCCCGAGTCCGTTAACCCTGACACCTACACGCTAAAAACCCTAAGCTGCCCCAAATCTTACAACCCGTCCCAACGACCCAAGAAATGCAACGGCTTCGCACCGAGGCAGGGAGCGCAGCCGGTGGAGCTTCGATCCTCGGAGTCCAAGCATCGGACGGTCGGGCTCAGGGTGCAAATGCCTGAGGAGTATGGTTGAGGGTCTGGCGCTCGACTGTTCCTCTTTGTCGGTTCGCTGGTTGCGGTACAGGAGGCTGAGGAAGACCCCATAACCCCATGTCCAACCCGAAGGCCCGAATCCTGAACCCTGCAAAAACCGATGCGCATCACGCTGGGCCACAGGGTTTAAGCTAAACTCCAGAATAGTGCGAAATCAAGAACTGTCAAACCCTTCAGCCTTTCCGCTTTGAATGCATGTGCACTGCCCGGGTCGTTCACATAACGTATGTCAACATGTTTACGAAGCTTTTTGAGTCTTGTGCAGTTGTAGAATCGACCAAAGACCCTGGCCCCGGAACCCTAGCATCCTAAACCCCAAATCCTAGCCTTGTAGCATGACCCAAGCCCCATCTAAGCGTTCAGCTGAACAATGGCAGCGACTGCAGGGTTTCGTCTTGGGTGTCAGGGTGCAGGCTTCGGGTTCGGATTTTGCCGAGAGGATGCGAGAGGGTTGAAGGTTGAAAGATTTAGGCTTTGGAGCTTACCTTTCGGGCTGTAGGCTCGCCGAAGACAAATCAACATTGCCAAACATTAGGCCCAGCGGCCCCATTCCCGGTGCCAGCCCTGGCGCTGCAGTGCGCATGGCCAGGTGCTGTTGCAGCATCTGGTGCTGCAGCTGAAGCTGCTGAAGCTGGTTGGCCTGAAAGCCGTCAACAAAAATTGCCGCCGCAGCAACATCTTCGGGCTAGCGATGCAGGAATAAGTGTGCCATGTACCGCCACATCCCAAATCCGATTGTCTACAAGAGTCTACATCGCACTGGGGACTTAGAACTCCCAGATGTTCATGTGCCGGCAAATCTACGCCGCGCTGCCTGCACCTGGCTAAAGAACTGCTGCATGATCAACGCAGCAGCCATGCCTCGGAGCAAAGCTTGCAGAAGACGTCTTGGCCAAGGACACAGCTTCCAAATGAATACTATACCGAACATGGGGTGTAGGGTTTCAGCCTAAAGTTGAAGATCTGAAGTTTTTGCTCTGTTCGGACATTGGTGCTGGCGGGATACGCCAACCACCTTTACCCGAGCATTTATAATCTTTGAAGCTGCAACGGCTATCTATGTCCCAAGCCCACACATGGGAAATTAGAAAACCTTTTCAGAATGAATCTGTTCAGATTCACAGCCCTCGGATGCCTTCGGCATGGTCTGGCTTGGATTTCTTGGCTTCGGGCGTTCAGCTTTGGTTAATGGAACTGGGGAACATCTTGAAAGAAAAACCATCAAGCCAAATTTACTGCTTGAAACCTAGGCGGACAAAACGGCAACCCGACTCCTGCCCAATATGACAAAAGGCCCCTTGCCACATGTTGAGCTCCTCGCAGCCATCGTAAAGAGGACCCTGCTACTAAGCCCGGTATTGCTTGAAATTCCCACGTGTCAACATGCTCATCTTACCGTTCAATCCGACCGAATGATGTGCTTCGCCCCAACGCAGCACAAGGATGGAGAAACAGACCACCCTTTCATCCTCCACCTCAGAGCCTCGAATCTCAAACCCTCCCACCGCTGCCTGTCTGTGCCCCTTCCGTCGCAGGTGCCACTGCTGCAGGCACAACTGGTGCGACTGGCGCAACCGGCGCGGCAGGTGCAACCGGTGCAACCGGTGCAATCGGAGCGACAGGTGCAAAAGGCGTGACCGGTGGAGGCACCACAACAGGTCCAGATGTATCACGGGGCGGAACCACGCGAGCCATACCTCAGGGATTGGTTCAGGATACTTCAGGGCACTAGCTAAAGGAATGGTGAGGTTTAGAAAGGGAGCCAACTGCGACGGCCGAAAAGAGCCCCTAAGCTGCAAAGCATCACGAGCTCTTCCGCAATGGACTTCCCATTTTGCCTGCTTAAACTACACCCGGCAGAGCCATGCCTGGCACTCCAGGAGGCATGTGCTGACCAGGCCATAATTGCGGCAGCATGGCTGTCCAGCCAGTTGGACCCGCACTGGATTTGTTTATGAAGCCCTGTCTAAGGCTCGAAAATTTCGGGTTCAAGTTTACCTGCTCCTTCTGCGATTGCTTTACAAGGTGTTTTGAAAGGTGAAAACAGTGAGTCCTATCAAAGCTGCCAAGAGCCCAATGCCCTTCAGGCAATATTTTATCGGGAAGTACGAGGATCGAGGATCAAAGACTCTTGTTTGGGATTCAATCGCGGTTGTGGGATGGCCCGTGCGGTTTCGCTGAGGTGCACTTGCTCCCACTTGGCAATGCTCGGATCAACTTGAGCCATACAACCATTCGTCAGAATCTCCCCGGCAAAAGAAGTGCTTTCATGCTTGACGCTTGAGAGTCTTAGGCCTTGGGTTCGGAATAGTTTGGGCTAGGGATGTATCGGGGGTGGCTTTGGCCTCGAAACCCTTGTGCATAGATCGAAGAAAACGAGGGGTCCCACGGTTGATGGACTGGGGCCAGGATTTTGGGTGTGAGGGCGCTTTGGGTTTGGATGGGCTTGCTTTGATTCTTCTGGAATTTAGGTTTAGCGTTCATGTTTGGGGTTGTTGCGGCTTCAAAGTTTTGAGGGCTAGGTCACGAAGTTCTGGCGAGCAACAGGGCAAACCACAAGGCAATGCCTAGTCGCCGGAACTGGAGGCTCTTCTGCCAGCAAGTTGAACTCCCAATTGAAAACCACGTGACCCTCATCTGTGAAATCATGATTCGCACACTGTAGCATGCTTTAACGCCTTTTCAGGCTCTGTCGCCCCGCAAGAGATTCGTGTCTCCACACGCGCAATGCCTGAAAGTATCCTTACACACCTTTTGTTAATGTTGGTTTCTGCCTCAACAAGGCTGCGTTTGCTTGCCGAATCAGGAAGCTACTCTGGCGCGTCTCAGCTGGCGAGTGAAACCCAGAGCGCAAGAACGAGCACACTGATGGTGGCGCCTGCAGCGTTTGGAGTGGGGCGAAGCTGTAACATATTTTTGGCGGCCCCAACCAAGAGTTGCGTCTCGAGTTTAGACTGCATGGCTTGGAGGAAGCCTTCCCCCGCCTCAACACTGAACCATACAACACAAGTAGACGACTGTCAGTACACTTGTTACAGAGAGAGACAGAGAGAGACGGGGACGGGGAGACGAGGAGACGATGGGGCGGAAGCCGAGAGACAGGAGCAAAACCGAGGTTTTGTAGGTTCATGCCACCGAACTATAAAGCGATCCAAGACAACAACGACTAGACTCTAGACCAATCCAGTTTGATGTCAAGCGTCCCTAGCGATTCCGATCAAGATGAACACAATCCTGAACGTAATCCTCGTGATCATCACCATCATCAAGTTCGTCATCATCGTGACCACCACAGCCTGTTCTCGGGATCACCATAATGTCAAGGAAGAGGAAGAAGGAGCTGCACCAAAAACAAGCCAAGGACATAGCTGCAAAAGACGTTGGATGCCCACTTGGTGATTATGTGCCCCAGCTTCAAGTGGCAATCTCCACATATGGCAGAGACTGGGAACCCCAGGCTTTACAGATCGCTGTCTAGGATTGACAAAGGCCAGATATTATGAGATCGACACACTCCAGGAGGATCATACCAAAACCCGCGCAGAGATTGACAATATGCAAGCCGGAAAAGTCCCGCTTCAGAGACTTAAGCTCCAAGCCCCCCTATCCTTGCCTGGTGACACACTGCTCTTTTCTTTTTCCGGTTCCTCAGAGCACAGCCGCTAGATTCAGAGTCGCTAAGTGCCAGCTTGTGGCCTCAACCTTCTGAAGCGGTGCAGTACGTGGTACGTTGTGTTTTCCGACCCAGTCCTGTCCATCTTCTCATACTGGGGCTGTGGCTGCTCTGACGCTCCTACGTCCGCCACCACCACCACTGCTGCTGCCACTGCCACTGCTACCACTACTACTAAGACTACCACGACCAATTCCACTACTACTGCTGCTACTACTACTACTACGACGACGACGACGACCACTACCACGACCACAACCACCATAACCACCACCACCACCACCAACACCGCGACGACGACGATCACTACTAGTTCTACTATTACGACCGCGACTGCGGCAACTGCGACTGCGACTGCGACGCCGACTGCGACGACGACTACTACTGCTATTGCTACTACTAACTGCCACTGCCGCTGCCCCTGCCACTGCCACTGCTACGGCTTCTGTTGCTGCCACCGCCGCTGCTACGGCTTCTTGCTGTGGGCAAGGCAAGTATGTCCGTGGACTCTGTCCTTAATGGTCAATGCAGGTTACCAACTCTTGCCGCAAGCTTATGTCACTGAGTCTGCGAACTTGTGTTTTGGCGGTGGTCATGACGATGATGGTTCTGTTGACAACATTGCATATGCGGCCAACAAAGAAAACCATGCTCGATGATGACGATGGCAATGTCATCACCAGCATCATCATCATTACCACCATCGTCATCCTGGTTGGGACTTCACATGTCGCAAAATGCATCAACCCCACAGACGATGGGGCCCGGACGGGTGGTCCGGCGACCCACACCCATACCTGGGCTTCTGTCGTTGTCAAAGATGAAAGACTAGTAAGATACAGCAGCGCTTGCAGCACAGACGATGTCTGTTCGTCATGCATGTCTTCACTTTCTCTTATGCTGCTTGTGGGGTACTGATTGGAAAGGGGTACATTTGGGACCCTCCCTCAAGCCCTACCATCGAAGCTTCGTTACGTCATCCTAGCGGCCAAGTCACGGCCTTGTGTGTCTTGCCGTTGGCTCTGCACTGCCCCCCCGGGGAAGCGAAGTACCTCTTGGACTTCAGACCGAAGCTTAGTCACGGATTTCGGGTCCATGTAGGTCTTAGGTTTGCACTTTGCAGGGTCTGGGAATCAGGGTGTAAAGGTTTTGGGCATGTTAAGTGGTTGGCCTTTTCGAGGCTTTAGGTTGAAGGTAAGGACACACAATAACCAACTCTAGATTGGATCTGTGACTTCGAACTTCCGACTCCTCAACCCATCAACAGTAACATCCAACTGTAACTCGTGAAGCTCCTCATCATGTACCTGCATGGTACATAAAGATTATAAAGACAACCACGCCGCTGGAATCAATCAGCTGTTTCAAAAGGGCTTACTCTGCAGCTGCGGCACGCAGTCCAACCTGCTCCAAGCTCGCCGGTGGTTGACTGGCCTGCGATCCCAATTCCAATCGCGCCATCAGCATCGTCGTTGTCGTTGTTCTGGCAGGCCTGGGACGCACAGTTGTTGCAGTAGCCCCAACGGGCTTTGTTGCCGCCGTTGCACTCGATGTTGAAGCCAGGCCTTGGATCACACGGTCCGAATAAGGCCCGGTCATGGAGGAATTTCAATCGAAACAACTGATAAACTAAGCCCCTGACCTCTGCATGGGGCAGTCCTGGTAAGTGCCTTTCTTCACCTTGAAGGCCTTAAGAATTCCTTTCTGATCCACCTTCGTGTCTTTGATGTACTTGCCGCTGAACAAAGCTTTGGCATTGTCATACTCTTTCTTGAGCTCGTGCTCCACACAGTTATCCTTCGGTTCGTCCACACACATTCGAATCTTCTTGAACGGCACCGTGTTGAAAGCTTCGTACTTGGCATCCTCTGCTTTGTCTTCTGCGGAATCTTTGTTCAGCAAATCGCTATTGGTCCACAAAGGAGAGGAGAAGCCCAGCTTGGATGTCTTACCAGCCTTCAGCACCAACTTCCAGTTCTCCTCAAAAGCTGAAAATATTACGTTCAGATCCCTAAGGCCCTAAGCTCAACGATCTTAGAACTCCAAAACCCATAAAACGATAAATCATAGGTTGAGCTAATTCATCAAAGCAGAGTCGCTCAGCTGTGGCAGTACTTTTGACCTTCTTTCCCGAAAAAACATCCCACCCGGTTCACCGTGGATCTGCACAACCGCATAAAGCCGGGCAGCTGCCCGGAAAGCTAGAGTCTACACCCCCCCCCCCCAAAGCATAGGAATACTGAGCCTAGGCAAGAAGCATCACCCTGAATCTTGGACTGCACCACCCTTACCCAGATCGGATTTAGGGAGGGAAGTTGTACACCCAGCTTCAAGCACTGGTGCAAAATCCTGAAAATTATTGTTATCCTATGGCACAGTCTTACATATTGCAGAGTGAGCATGATTCACACGGCTAGCTCGACACATGTCCGACAGCTTTCGTGATCTGCCCCTAAGTGAAGCAGTATCTGAACTACCTCTGGTTGGTGCACCGGGAAACTCGGGCAAAGAGCACTTCTGTTGTGCAGTCGAGCGCCTGGCAAAAAACAACTGTCGCTGCTGCTCATAAGTCCAATGCTTCTTGTAAACTGTAAACATGAAACTCTTGGCTTAGTTGGGTGTTTGTACTTCTGTGTCGATCGGTTGGTGCATGACTCTATCAGAACTTGTCCCACTGACCCTGTTTGCTCAGGGGCATTTCGTGTGCCAACAACAGAGTTGCTCTTGCTTGTCAAATCCATGTTGGCATGATGCTCCCTTGAGGCGGCCTTGTGAAATACATAACATACCAGTTCCGAGTTCCCGCAAGTTCGGTCAATAAACATGGCCAGGTGCTTGAGCTTCGACCACACGCTTGAAAAAGTTCGCCTTGTACAAATCCAGCCGCGGTTAGATGTATGCATTCTACTGAGTCGAACCCGTCTGATATCTCATATTTACAGATTGTGTCGAACAAATCAAGCCTCTACATTGTCTTGTCTCCAAAGCAGTGTCAAGCTGCTTGTGTGTCGTAAGAGCTCCGCTTTCTATATCTCAATCAACATCTACAGAGTCAGCCAGCAAGAGTCCGGTCTCGACTACACTGACTGCAGCATGCTTTCTTGGCACCGGCATGTGAGAAGCGTACTTCGCGCCTGACAGTGCCCGATTTATGGTTTCTATACGCAAACATTTGTGAGGTCTTCTCGCCTTTCGTGCAATGGCTGGCTTAAAGTGTCTGTGTATATCTCCCGTAGACTACGAACCTTCGGCAACATCTTTTTCTTTGAATGTTTCCGCTGCGCAGGCGCATTAAACAACTGTGAAGCTTTGATGATTGAATCGTCTTCCTGTCAGATGCGCCGCTGCCCACTGTACTATACGTGTACATTTCTGAACTGCGGGGCTTGATACATGTAAAGAGAAACTACAGCAAGTTTGGCCGTGAACTAGACTTGCATCACTTAAAGGTCTGCCAGTTTCTGCAACCAGGTAAGATGACGGAATGTTCAGGTCAGTACGCAGACTCTTTGGTTCACGGGGTCTGCAGCCGCATAGCCTTCGTTGTGCCAGATTGTGCTCGTCTGAGGCTGGTCAGAAACTCGAAGAAAATGTGCAGAAGATCAACAAGTCTACAGTTGCATTGTAAATGGCGCCACAAATTCGTGTTTGGAGGAGTTTGGATACTGACATATTGCAGCATTCTGTAGCACATCGAATCACGCTATCATGCCAACATCCTCTTTTTGCATCTGAAAGCCGTTTCACAACCTGTGTTGCACCACCATTTGGGAAAGTTGCTCAATTGCTTCTCCACGCCATCGTCCAGAATCATTCCATCTGTCATCATCTAGCATGCTGTCAAATGTTGCCAGCAATCACAGCGAAATCTATAACACATTGAAACAACTTCAAAAACTCAAGAAGTTAAAAACTTCCACGAATAATATGATAAGTATCCTTTAAACGAGAACAGTCTCGAAGAAAAAGCTCGGTGAAAGTTTGTACAAGTTTCCACTAGTAAAATGTCAGCAAGAGTGTGGATAAAGCCTCCGAGCATACGGCTTTCCTCTTTGTGGGTGCTTTTCTCAGAGCCTTGAGTTCCGTCCAGCACCTTATAGTAGACCTGTTTCGAGACTTGATGTCGTCATTTAACTGCACTTCGATACAACAGCATAAACTCGGTCCTATGATGCCGTGGTGTTGACACTTCGGCATGTAGCTGGCAATTGATGAGGTCTGCCACAGAAATCTACAAAAAGATGCCCTTTTTTTTCTGATCGGTCAAATTGCCCCAATAGGTCTGTGTTGAAAACTCGAACCGACAGCTTACCTCATGGGTGTCCTAATAAGGAGCAACAGGGTATGAAACGGCATGTCTGTGCTTTTGCCATCGATTGCTCAAAGGCTTGTTCTTCGACTTTCCCCATCTCTGATTATTGTCAAACAACTTTTCTCCACATCACAACATTCATTGTCTTCGGTGCTAGTGGAAACATAGAACCATTGTCTGTCGTGAGACAATTTTCCACTGTAACTGAGCGTGTTGCATCAGACAAACTGTGTGCTGTCTTGCAATAGTGAAGTTCACTCCTAGCGCTTTCATGATGTTGGCAGCCAAACACTTCAGCACTGCCTCGCTTGCCGCAAGTCTTGTCTACGAAGGACCGTTGTTGACATGTTGACACCTGTTCGTTTCATGCGTTACACTGTCCTGGGTTTTGAGTCTTCGCTTCTGGGTCCGTGTCGTAGACCTAGGCAAACTGCTACTTTGCAAGCGGCTGATGCAATGACCATGGTTTTGCTGGCAACCGCAATTGCGACACATAGTTGTGGGAATTGCGAAGGGGCAGATGATGCATTCAGTGCCACCTACCATCCTGATTTGCTGCAAGGCCGAATCACTTTCGAGATGCTGTTGATGTGTTGTAATAGCGGAGTTGTTCCGTCTTTCTTTCGCTGCTGCATGTCCTTTCAATAAGAGGCAGCACATTGGCTTCAAGATGCTTCGAGGACTCATGTCATTTCTTTCACGCATGATCCTTTACCCTCTTGGTTTGATCATACATGCCACGTTTTCTCAAGCCTTCGTGTGTCAATGCCTCCTTCTTGTCCTTGGCCCTGGCCCCTTCACTTGGCCCGGCCACCTTCCGGGCTCATAACTTTTACCGCGGGCGATTTCGAGTGCGTGCTTTTTGCACCGAGACATGATATGCGCGTTGATGTAGATCTGCGCCTTCCAGGGGAAAGTGAGGAAACAATGTAAGGTAGCCACGATCGCTGTTCTGAATCGTCGCGATTGTCCGTGGCTCTTGCCTTTGGTCCATTGATAGATGCGTACAAAAACAAGGCTCCTTATTCAAACAAACGTTTCATTTTGGTTGTCTATGCAGCTACCAACCCATCTGTGCAGAACTTGTGTGTGTGTGTGCGCGTGTGTCTGCACGTCTGTGTTTGTATGTGTACGCATGTATAAATGTCTGTGTATGTATATATACATCTATATATATATATACAGCATATATATATACACAAACATATACATGTACACATACAGATGGATGTACATATACGTATACCTAAACATATGTATATATACATGCATATACATATGCAAATAAATTTACATGTACGTATAGATATATACATTCATGTATATGTGTGTGTATACAGACTTTGGTGGTCATGCAACAACTTGTCTACCTGCATTTCAAATCCATGTGAGCGCGAGTGATCATGATCGTGTATTTGATTGCGGAAACCTGAAGCAGATCTCTGCGGAAGAAGCCGAGCAGAACTGAAATCAAAATGCTCATACCCGCCGTCCTCCGCTCTGGCGTCTTCATGTTCGACGGATTCAGAACCTTCAGAAGAGGACCATGAATAAGGCCTAAACGAAACCCGAAACCGCATCTCTGCGATCCTACAGACTCCAGGATGCTTGCCGTAGCCCAGAAATGTCATGAAATGCCTCGACTATCGAGTTTTGGGTTTGGGCGCTGGTATTCTGGGGGCAAGAACTTAAACCGTTGAGAACTGCACAGAAAGACACAGTCACGCCTTATCTGAACCCCAGGGCTTACCCTCAGACTGCAAAGCCTAGAGTCTAGAGCACATAAGGTTCAATCTCTGGGAAGCTGTCCATTCCGAAATGAGAAAGCCATGCATCCTTGATCTCCGATTGGTTTTCCCTGAAATCTCAACACGTCTTGCGTCATCCTCACGCCCGGAACACTAGCCCAAGATCAAAAGGAGCTAAAGGACCCCCCCCCCCAAACACAAAATCGTGCAAAACCCTCGAGACGCTGGCGGAGGAGGCTATCCCCATTTGCTGCAGCTGGCTGGTGCCAGCCACCGTCCTTGCAGTTCAGGGTCGCGTGCTTAGTATATAGGCAAGATGTAGGATTTCAGGTTTCAGCACCAAGCTTGAGGGTTGAAGCTTGTGCATTGGGGTTCAATTTCAGGGTTGGTGGCTCTGGGGTGGTCCAACCGCCCCTAACGCTCGCATGCACGGCCTTCTTTGTCTTACAGCACCCTCCCCGAACGGTTTCAGCACCGTGTGCCTGTTCGAGGCCTTCATGCAGGATGTTTCGAATCGAATACGACTCATGGAGCTTCGGGCTAAGAGATTCATCAAGCCACAGGATTCAATCCACAGGATGTGGGTGCAAGTCCTTGACATTTCAGTTTACATCCAGTCTCCGGCGTGCACAATGATTTTCAGAGCCCGGCACCATGGGCCTATATGGCTTAGGCTCCCCACGTCGGTCACACTCGAGTCAACAAAAACATGGGAATCTGAGGCTACGGATGTGCAGCTCGCAGACACGCCTTTTGCACAGTGCACAAATCAGAGTCCCGAAACCACACTCGTAAAATCCCGGTCTCCCCTGCGAACAACACAAAACTGGTTTTGCCTGAAGCCCTGCCCCGAAAAACTTGACCCAAGGGGTTAGCCTGAATCCACCATCTCTGGCCAACATGCTTCATCCTCAATCCAAACCTTAGGACCTGTAAACCTTAAACTTTCAAACTCGCAACCCGAAAGCTTGAACCGCACGGACTACACTCCACACAACGCAGCTGAACTTGCTTGGTAAAACACCGGAGAAATCACGAGTCTGGCTTTTCCAACGTCGGCGCAGCAGACCTCCCAAAGTTTCGAGTAGGATAATTTTTTGGATCCAAAGGTGCAACAGGTTCTGATCAACACAAATTCGGGGAGGAGCTGTTGATTGGTGATGAGCTGCATTGCATCGCGCCTGCCTGCTGGATGACGGCTAAAGACGGAAGCCACCAAGCCACAGTCATCTTGAACCTTGCATGGGTGATGGAAACCCAAAGATTGTGCCGTACGCACCTGCAAGATTTCGAGGCATCGAACATATTCGCACCTTTGCTGAAGATTGCAATATTTGCAAGGCTTTTATGTTCTCAATCGTGACAACCTACAATGAATAGAAACGAGCCTGGAAATAAATCTGCGCTGGTTAACAAAACTGAAGCTCCCATGTGCTTTTTGCGTCCCAGGAACGGTATGTAAGGCCTGGCAGAAAAAAACGACATAACTCAACTTCTGTTGAGCCAAACTGACAATAGGATTGACAGAGCACGGGCGTTCAACACGCAGCCAAAGCTTCGGCATCATTGTTGTAGCAACTGCTAGCAAACTCGAAACCTTACACTTTATGCTGAAGGACGGGCTCTGGTCTAGAGATACAAAAGATGCTGTTTGTTCAGCCTTTCATTCTTCAGGATCTGCAGTCAGAGGGTTTTTCCGCTTCCCAAGATTGGATCATAAACCTTATATAAAATTCCTAGACAGTCCAACTGCCCCTATGATACCCCAAATAGCCATTAATTAATGAGGACCATAAGGGCTCTATGAAAGGCGCTTGCAGGGAGAGTCCTGGTACCCCAAAGTCTACACCCAACAAACCCCACATTTCAACGTAACCACGACCTTCCAACCTGAACCCCAAATCTTAGTGACTTAGTGGATCTTCAAGCTTTCTAAGATACAGATTGCGGCATGCAAGCAGGGACATCAATCAGAAAAGCTGGGCTCTTGCGCGAAACTGTGCATGCAAGCGAAAACCACAACGGTGCATGAGACAGCGAAAATGTCTTGTTAATAAAGGTTCAAGTTGTCAAGGCGGGTTTGGCAAAGATCGGTGTAATCGGAGTCAAATCACAAAGAAAATTCAAAGCTATGGCGAAAAAATTCTTTGGTTTTGCAACAGATCTTGTTCATGCATGGACACATGGATAGGAGGGGTTATTCAACCAATTAATTTTTGGAGTGTCCCCATACTCCAGATGTCGCACCTTCTTGGTGTCCATTTTACTTTTTATTTGCCGTTTTGAAGCCAGAAACCTGTCATTTGATGCCATTTGTGCACCAAAAATGCAGTTTTGCATCCATTTTAAGCCGTTTGGGCATCTATTCCGGAAAAAACAAAATTGGCCTTCATGTCGTTGTAAATGCTGTCTTGCATCTCAAACGTAAATTTAATCTTGTTTTTCAAATACTTAGCGTTCCCTTCATTGACCAATGCCAATTGCGTGCCAATTGTGCGCCTATCAACCTCAAGGTACCCAGTATATACCGTGACGATCACTCCAAATACTCTGCGTAAAACGTGTCGATCACAGTCTGAAATGAAAGTCTTTGCGTTTTTTTGGTGTTTTTCTTTATTTTTTTGGGGGGGAACCTGCGATAAGGCAGGCACAAAGCCGGCGCCGCAGCCGGTCATTTTGCGTTTTTTTTGTTTGGATAAGACCCTCTTGCGCTTAAAAGTCTTGGCATTTTGCAAGGAATGTTGCTTGAATTCATCGCCGTCGCAGCTCTATGCTGCAGGAATGGAGAAGCCCAACGACGTAAGTCTGTTCGCGTTTTCATTCGAAAACCATTTGAAAGCTTGCGGCGTGTAGGCGGCCATGGCCCACATATGACCTTCATGTGGTTCGACTTGATGAAAGCGACGCGCGTCGAAGGTGATCGGTTTGTCATGTATGTCGTGCCACGATCCTACGAGCGCTCGAGTCATGCGAAAGAACATGAACAAGGGCATCCCGTTCGGTGGGCTAGCCCCAGGTCGCAACGGAGCTCACCTTCCGGCGCTACTTGCGCTACCCCGTTCCCTGGCAGGCTGTGGGGAGCTCTCCTGCGTCGGTGGAGCCGAAGGCCTTGCGAGTAGCCCAGTTTTAGATGCTACTTGTGCTACATAGGGTTCATATGTAGCATGTATATTTCGCGCCCGGCAGGTCAAGGAGGATGCCAAGATGGTGGTCGAGCAGGCTGAGGCCAGGTAGCACACGTAGCATGCAAAACCCTGCGTGTTCGGTAGGTCCCGGCGACTTCGGATGTGGCCGCGGAGGCCTTTTATAGGTAGCGCGTGCAGCGCGCAAAACCCTGTGTTCGGCAGGTGACGACATGTGACGACACTCTTCGGATGCACCGCGGAGGCTTTCGGTGTGGAGCCGAGCCAGGTCCGCTTCGGTGCCGCTACGTGGGTTGCCTGGGGTGATTGGTCTCGCAGGCTGAGCCGGTCCAGGAGACCGCGCAGGAAACCGCGGCGTCGATCCAGGTTGGCTTTGTCGGTGCTTGCGTTAGTTACGTTAGTTGGGTGTAATCCCTTGACCAGGCTGATGAGCCGATGTCGGCGAGTCCGAACCAGGCCCGTTACGGTGCCGCTACTTGCGCCGCTTGCGGTCATTGGTCTCGCAGGCTGAGCCGGTCCAGGAGACCACGCAGCAAGAGGCCTGCGGAGGTAGCGGTAGCGCGTGTAGCGTGCAGCATTCTTGGGTTGGTAGGTTCCGGACACTTCGGATTCGGTTGCGATCGATCGAGAGGCCTTGAATATATCCCGGCATGTAGCATGTGTAGCATATGAAACCTCCATGTGGTCGGCAGGCGCCAGCTCCTCAGGATCAGACCGCGGAGCAGGAGACCGCGGAGCCGGTTGGGCCAGTTTCAGTGCATGCGTCAGTTGGGTGCGCAGCCCCTCGACCAGGCTGATGAGCCGATGCCGGAGGTCACGGAGCCGGGGCAGAGCTCCAAGATGGAGGGTTGCCGATCATCACAACACCCTAGCCCTGCAACACATCCTTTGACAGGCCTCCTACGTGGACGCTGAGTGGAGTTCCGGTCTGAGCCCCGATGTGAAAGGCTTTGTGCATGGCTACCTTCGGACAGCTGATAATCCTTACGAGATGGTCCAGATTCGGGCTATGCAGGGCTGTGGTCGCTCGGATGTTTTCGGCGCGGCTTTGGTTGCGGCAGCCGATCGGGACGACGCCAGGGTTCAGCTGTTGGATGTGTTTCTGGGCCGAGCTGCTGCGCCGGAACCGGATGAGCTAGAGCGTGGCCTGGAGCGGCTGTACGATGAGGCCAGGGAGGGCGAAGAAGAGGAGGGTTCCTTCGAGCAAGATACCTTCCAGGAAGACACGGCGGAGGAGAGCAGGCCCAACCTGTAAAGCATGGCCCTCACATCGATCTGGAGGCATCCTCGCTTCTGCAAGAACTTGAAGAGGACGTCGTAGTTGATGGGCTCCACCAGGATGAAGCTGGCGAAGTTTGCGCCACGGAACCGGGTCGTTTAGGGACCTTGCCTGTGGCGTGCATCTCGACCTTTCTCCAACGGTCACCAGGAGCAGATGTCTGCGAGGATGCCGCGGCCGCCGGCTCATCGTCCAAGGCGCGGACCATGTCGAGCGCCCAGTGAAGGTTGTCGTTGCGGTTCAGGGCCAATGCCAAGTCCAGGGTGCTTTGCGCCCCCTCTGCGATGAAGCGGTTCATGCCTTGAACACGCGTGGTCGGGGAAGCATCTGGGCCCGGCGCCAAATCGAGAGCCTCACCCACTCTGCGGCAACCCTCCAGCACCTTCAGGTTTCTGTCCTTTTTGGCTCGAAACGACACGTTCGGGGTCAGGTGAGCAAAGGCATGTA